TATGTTCTCTGCTTCTAGGCTTATTCATATGATATTCGTGCTTTTTGGATTTTAATTGGTGTGTGAAGTACTTAGAGGAAATGCTTTTGATTGAATGACCTTGGTTGTTCAAATGCATCTGTTCCTGAATTATAGCTCCGTTGGGTAGGGACATACATTTTTCAGTTAGTTGAAATGATGTATTGAACCGATGCAGTTAATACTAGTCCTTTTGTAATCATACTACCGATGAAGTAATACTAGTTGAGGATTGTGTCTAACGAGTACCTATCAAATACATCTTGCATAACCTATTGAACATAAAATATCGTGCAGATTCTCTGACATTTTGCTTGTCAAACACAACTTTAAAAGTTTAGGGACTTCTTAACACCTTTTAAAGTTTGCGGACCTATTAGGAACAATAAAGTTTATGAACCTATTAGGAACAATAAAGTTTGGGGACAAATTTGTAATTTTTTTTATCAATGCCGACTTGAGTGTGTTCTTCTATCATCCTGAAAATTTTCTATTTCTCCTTTGTGTTACTGAATAGTTTTGGGGAAGTTTCATAAAAGAAAAAAAATGAAATCTTTGTGTAAATAATTATTTTCAACTTTCAAACAGTTCTTGGCTTAGAAGTCCAAGGATTTTACTTCTTTACAGAGTAAATTTTCCCATTCAACATATGTAAGGAAGAGAGAGGGGAGGAAAAGAAAAAGGCCTTTTCATTTTTTGTTACTTTTGCAAATATGCTGTTGATATAATTTGAGTTGAAAGGGAAAATGCTGCTACTGATTTGTTGACATGCTTGACAATTACTAGATGTGTGACTATCAATTTAAAGACGATGGGCAGAATTTTGTTATCAAATACTCTATGAATTGTGGTCATTCATTTTTAATTGAAATTTTGGTTGATAAGAACTCAACATTTATAGTGTGCTAGTGCAAGAAATATTATATATCATATCTAGGAGTTCAGTTAGAACCTCAACTGACTGGCATTTGGAGTGTTCTTCTGTTAATATTATCAGGTAAATACTCAAGCTCCATCCAATGTGGTTGATTGCAGCAATCGCAACAATTCAAAATACTATGTTGTCGTTGTTCAGGTATGCTTTCCTTTCTCCTTTTATGTAAAAAGTCTTGCCAAATGACCTGTATCATACTCTTTAAAATAAAACATTTCTTAATGCAGTATACCGCTAAGTTCAGTGCTGAAACTGTTAAAAACTTCCTGTATTCACTCAATGATGGCAAAATAGCGAAAAAGAAGTTCAACTGTAAGTTCTCTATCATCTTAGAAGATTTCTAAAGGTTCTTGATGTGGTCATCCAAATTTAAGTTGACTTGGTTCATTACTTGTTAACATAGTCACGTACATGCTTTGATTAAGTTAAGTGAGAAGGGGATGAGGCAATTCAAGCATCATTACTTTGTCCCTGCTTATAGATGAAAGAACACAAGAGGAGGCCATACAAAACCAAGGTCTAACCAACCAAAAAGAGCCACCAAAAATGAGAAAAAAATTAATGAAAGACCCTAGTTCTCGTTGCTGGTCATCAATAGGGGAAAAAAAGAAAAAAAGAAAAACACTAAAAAAATTAACTAGGAGGTACCGATGTTTCAGATATTATGGTATCTTGAAGTGTTTTTGTTTTTTAACAGAGACAGCACTCATGGTTTCTAATTTTACACAGTGAGACTTGCTCCGGAGGAGACGTCTGCGAAATTAACTGGATATGAGCATAATGGAGTGACATGCATTGGCATGAAAACAGATATTCCAGTAAGCACCTTAACGTTTGACTTGATATCTCTAGTCTCAGAATTATTCTCGCTCGAGAAACCTATATTTAAACGTTTATTCTATATCTCTTACATATGTACTTTAAAGATCATGCAACCAATATGCTAGCTTCTCAAATCCGCAAGATTCTAAAGGGGTGCATGGTATTTTTGTGCACATGTGATGGCTAATCTTTTTTGTAGGGTTGTCTTTTTGTTGGATGGAAGACTAACTCTTAATGAAATTGTAGAATACATTCTATATTACATAATTCTGTTGTGAAAATTCGTAACAGACTAGGTATGGATCTACCATTTATCAGGAGATTATCACGACTAACTGGGATAAAATACAAAATCTAAATGTGATAAGAAAAGAAAGTTACTATCTATTAACGATCAAATAGCTAGTGATATCATCACAATGGGAAAAAGGAGAATAATTAAGTATCATCACTAAGAGGAGCCCCGACTTGGAGAGTTAAAAAAAAGATCGGATGGTTTTTGGGCTAACCAAGAGAAGTAGGTGCAAACTCCCGATCAAATAAATTGATTCCATTTTGGGTAATGGGAATGGCCCAACAAGATAAGACATTAGTACTTGAAATATTATTTTTGTTCATGGTGACTTGGTTATGAAACACCATCACGGGCAGAGGTGCGGTCTCCACCGAGACTAGACTCCAGTTTCCTCATTTTTGTTCATTATCAACTCACGGGCAAAGAGGCAATATGGTAATTAGCAAAGTAGTTTGTTAAAAGTTGTTAGAGACTATTTTATTAAAAATAGAAGGGCTGAGTTTTGTTATAAACTTATAATGGTTTAGTTTTGAGTGTGTTCAAGAGAGGAGGGTCAAGTACCTTGAAGTTGAGAGTTGCTAGTTGCACTTACTTCCTTTTTATTTTATTTTTTTAATTTTAAGAAACAAAAATGTATTAATCACAAAAGGAGCCAACAACCTTAAGGTAGAGGGTGGAGATCACCCTTCCCCAAGAGCTATACAATGAGAGCTTTACAATTGTTGATAATTATAGTGAGACTATAATTACAAAAGAATTTGCTAGGTTAACACACTACTATGAGGACAAATGTTGAATACTATCACAAAACAAATCAAAAGAAGAAAACTTCTCTTCAAACGTTCCTTTCTTTCCAAAGCAACCAAAGCTTGCATTTACTTACCTTCTTATTTTTCCATATTTCCGAGTACTATTACTAGGTTCCTAACATTTTCCCAATTATCCATCCCAAAACATAGAAGGAGCTGAAGCAATGTCGGCTGTAGGATGTATGCAAGCAAGAGAATCTTCTCGTCAACAAGGAACCTCATTGCCCAATTGTGCTACACTTTGGGCTTACATTAGAAATATGGGACACTACTAACTAGGATTGACAAAGATGTTTTTGGCATCTGTTGGGTGACCATGACCATGTTGCTCTTCTGCTTCCCCTTCCTTGAAATAGGACTGCTGTGCTTTGATATGCAAGAGCAAGCAATGGAGGTGATAAATGTATTTGTTTGAGCTACATCTGCTGCAAAGGAATCTTGATGAAACCTTGAAATCTGTGGTGCAGAGACGATCAATGAACATGAAGGAATTACAAAAAAAAGTGATAATGAATAAAAAAGAGGTAAAATATTTCAATCATGCTAATGCATCTCCTGGTGACATTATATTTTCAAGGGTCCTTAATCTTCTGAGTGGTGTCTTTTCCTAATGGATATTCGTATATATATCTAGATATCATGAGATATTTGCTGAATCTGTTCCGCAAGGAAGCGTTGAGGAGCTAAAGGTAAATGATCAGTGGCTTTTGAACATGCCTGTCCGTGCTGACGTAGAAGCTAAGCTAAGAAATACTGATAAACTACTTGGAAACTAATATGATTACTGGAGTGCTTACTGGTTACTAATGTACTTGGCATGCTTAATGCTACTGTAGTGGGTGTCGCTTAATGGGAGAAAAGTTGGTACCATCACTTGACCCACATCTCGAGGCCAAGGTTTTGGGGGCTGCGTAATGATACGGTAATTATTAGAGGCATATTATTAGTCACCAGTTAGTGTGGGATTTGGGGTAGAAAAATTTTGGGAATGGTTTTGAGAGGTAACTAGGTGTCTCAAATGCTTGGTAAACCTTTATATTTTCCTTTGATATTGTTATACATTTCTTTTTAAAAAAAGCAAGAAACAAATTTCATTTTTGTAATGAAAAGATGCAACCTAGAACTTAAATAATTTCGTAGGATTTACATAAAAGCTCTCCCATTAGAATTAATAATATCAGAATTATGATTACAGAACAACTAGATAATGCATTCCAAGAAAATGCATTATGCTTCTTGCTTGGTGATAATGTGTTGCAACTAGATATTGCAAAACATTTCAGCCCCTCTTGTCTTGATTTCAATCTCATGTTCAGTAACGCAACAGCTTGTTCCTCGTCAAAACACAGAAAATGCCACGAAGCTTGGAGAAACAGTAGTCAGATGATTGATTACTCATTTACTCCAAATGATCACCCCTCCCTACTCTAATGGTTATTCAAGAAATCATGAAAAAGAATGAAACTCCAGTTGTCTTTAGCCAATACAAGTAAATTAGGACATAATCCCAGTAGATTTTTTCTACCTTCCACTGTCAATATATATTACAACCGTCTTAGGTTGGCCTATAATGGTTATGAGGGCTTGAGAAAAAAGTAAAGGAACCTAGAGGGAAAGGTTTAAACTTCAAAACTCATGATAACTACCTACGTAGGATTTCAGAATCCTATAGTTTCTCGGCAACTAGATATCATATGATCAGACAACTGTCCTATGAGATTAGTCAAGACAATGTTAACTGATTTGGACACTGAATATCCAAAAAAAGAATTAAAAAATCCTGTCAATATATATCACAGACTAGGTACAAATCTTCGTTTTTCCAGGTAAGGCTTACTACAATCCTACAACTAACTAGGACAAGCAATAAACTTAGAAAGAACAGAGATCAGATGATGAAGAAATCTAATTTCGCTTGGTAATATCATCCTTGATTACAGGTAAGAAGCAAATAGTTAGTTAACCAAATATTTCAACATTAACATAGAGGCTCTGATGTTTAATTTGCCTGGAAATGAAATACCAGTGAACTGTGTTACAATTTTAGATATTTTAACTTATTCTGATCTGGGGGAAATGGGTGTTCCCCCATGTGTAAATCTCTAGATCTTTCTTGATCGTCTTGCATCTGATTTTTTCCCAGCCTCCAGCTACTGTGTTGGACCAGTGTTTCATAGTTTCATGTCTGTCAACGTTTTATGTGTTGTACAGTATATTGTGGTCCACTGTATTGCTTTTGCCTAGACCAATGATTTTCTGCCAGTCTGCCATAACTGAAAAATGTCTCGATCGGACGGAAACCATAACTAAAAGCTCGCTTGTTCGACAGCATAAGCGTGTGCTTGGACACAAAATGGTTCTGACATGTTCCTACACATTAAGCAGATGACTAATACTGGGTAGATTGATGAATTATCAATAAACGCTATAACATATGCAAGCATTATTAACTAATAGATCAGTCTACAAATATTAAATAGAAATGTACTTCTTGCGATGCATCATTGACTATATATGTATGTTAAATCCCGATCTTGTCCATCGTGTTTTTATTGATTAGTTACATGCTGTTTCAGGTGATTTTGGATGAAGCCATTGCAAAACTAAATCCTGATTATTTTTGGTTGGGCGGTGGGGAAATCGACCTGAAGCTTGGGATCAGGACGTCCGAGTTCGTTAACTTTGTCAAACCCTTCATTGTCAAGTGTAGTTAAACAACCCGTTTTCGGCCAGTTTACGACGAATTGACACAACAGACTAATGCTGCCAGGATCCAGGTTTTTCAGTATTGATTTATTTAACTTTTTTATGCTTCTGAGGATGGATCAACTGTCTGTGTGTTCCAAATGAGGATGAAACCAAAAACAGAACTCATCACTGCTTAGAATGCTGAATTTGTAACTTACAATCTGACCATTTAATGGACATGAATGATTTAATGGACCACTTTAAATTTCAGCTATTGATTATGATTATGATGTGTGAATAATAAAGTGAGTAGCAAACCTATGCAGAATTTGTTCTTGGGAATGGAACAAGTTTGCAAATTCATGTAGTTGGAATCAAGAACAAGCAGTGGTCATATCAAAACATTTGCCGGTGGCTTCTTGTGGAACATTTAAGACCCCTGCTCCTTAACTTGCCAAGTCTAAGGTTTGGTTTGGCTTTATCCTCCATTTGAAAGTGAATTTTTTATTTTTTAAATTAATTATACTATTTTTTTTAATTATGATTTTTTAGGTGTATGACTTGGTGTTCTGATACAGTAATTTTCCGTTGCCAACCTGACATAACTCAGTTAATTAAGACATATATCCTCGACCAAGAAGTTAGTGGTTTGAATCCTCATCTCCACATGTTATTAAACTTGAAATTAAAATTAAAAAGAAAAATTATATATTGAATAAAAAATCAGAAAGAATATAACTCTTTGCTTGCATCTTTTATCTTGAATAGCATAATTGCCTCTCTTGTTGAATGTTGAAGCTTGTTCTTGATGGGTTGGTTTTAATGTTTTTGAATGATAGAATTGTTTTGCAATTTGAATGGGGGAACTTCATCTTTTAAGATATTTGTAAATATGTATTTTAATATAAAAGTAATTACTAATGTAATATTTTCTTTAAATAATGTCTTTGCAAATTTAGTATTTTTAGTAAAAATTTATGAATTATCCATGAACTTTTATAATAATAATCAATATATTTTTTTTAAGTAAGTAATCATTTTAATTTATCTAGATTCCAATTTGATAGTTCTATTACAACAAATTTTCTACGTTACACTTTTTTAAAAAACCTGTAATTTATTTATTTTCGTTATTTGTTTCATTTAATTATTTAACAAAATTTTAGTCCATGCTAAATCTTGATACATGACGACCCATTATCTAATTTTTGTTAAATGAGTTGCTATAAGTTCATAACAAAAATTACAGTAGTTTTATTTATTATTATTATTATTATTATTATTTTGCCAAAGTTTAGAGAAAACCGAATTTTTGGATATTTAAAGACTAAGGAATAATTTTTTTATTTTTTATTTTTTGAATTAGATGAAATAAATATCATTAAAATAGAATTTGATCCTAGAAGAGAGAAGAAAATGAGTGGGATAGAAAGAAGGAAGGAAAAAAAGAACTCACAGCCAACTACCTCTCTTTTTCACTTCCCACAAAAATAAAAATAATAATAAATAAATAAATAAGTGACCAACAACCACATTTTATATATATATATATATTCCTTGTCATGCATCCATTTAAATGTTCCTTGTTTCTATTACAAATCATTTATTTCTATAAGCACTATAAAATTTTTAGGTGTGAACAAAAAAACACCCCATATTAATCTTTTGTTTTCAAAATTAAGTTGTGTATATTTGTTCTCATCAATTTCCCAGATTCATTATGTGCACAGATTTTGTAGCCTTTCCCAAATACATTTTGTTTTTTCAAATATAATTCTAAAAGCAAATTCACGCATTCAATTAAATCGGGATGCTTTGAACCTGACATGTCGCTCGCTTGGTAAGAGAAACAAGACGTTCAGAATTAGAGGTATAAATATTTTACCGATTGAATTATATGTTAGTTCCTTTGCTTTAACCGTACCTTTAATTTGCTTTGAAATTTTCATTATAATCCCTATTTGATCGGAAGTAAAACTTACCAAATACCTTTTCTATTATGAAATGACGAAAATTCGAGTCAAAATTCAATCCATCTTATCAATTATGTACTCCAAAATAGGATTCCAAGCCCCAAATTTGTTTTTTTAATCAAAATAATATCTTAAACTTATAGTTCGAGTCAAAATCATATGATTCAAGAAGCGTAAGTTCAATTCAACTTTGGCATTGCAAAAACGTCAAATGAAGCTATTTTTCTTGTAGTCATACTTCTCGGCGCTGTGTTTGTTAAAAGTATAGAGACATTTTTCAGATTCATAAATAATTTGTGATGTTAATTTTTGCTACATTCTACTATAATAATAGGGATGTCTGCTAAACTTTAATAAAAATACAATAGTATTGACAGTTTTAGAATTAAATTGAAATTGATAGAACATAGGAACTAAAAATGCAACTTAAATAATATAATTGCTTAAACGAACAATATAGAGGAGTCGAGATTCGAATATAGCTAGGACAATTAATATTCCAAATTTGTTCATTATCCTATGTATCATATCCTAGGTTACTCACATATGTATTCTACAAAATCGTGAAAAATGACCCATACCCATACCTAACGCCCGTACTCAACTTCACATAAAACTATTTAAGAATGGCGAGTTTTGCATACCTTTTAATTTCTTAAACGCTTGAAAATACTTTTTCTTCAAAATACTTTTAATAGAAATGATTTTAATTAAAATATTTATGTATTTGGTTATATTATCTATTATAAGTGATTTTTAAAAATCACAAACTTATTTGGTTGCACAACATCTAAAAGTAATTATTATTGCACAATCACTTTAATTACGATCACACGCATTAAGAGTGAGTTTGACGTAACTAATACAAACCCTTTTTTTCACTCAAATTTCATACAATTGAAGGCCGTTTAATTTATCAAAGAGCTATACTTCATCACATAGTTTTCACTCTATTTTTCTTTATTCCAATGTAATTAAATAAAAAAAAAATAGGACTTTGGAATAAATTTAGAATATTGAAATTAAAGGAAATTTCAAATCTAGGGTTTTTTATTGTGAATTGGAGGCTTCCTATGGGGTTGTGCGTAATCCATCACTACCATGTCTTCTCCAACCTCATTTTCCTCATAGCTCATCAATTTCTCTTTTTCTTTCATTGAGAACTCCATTGCCAACCTTTTGTGCTTCTTCATTCCCTGCAATAAAAATTAAAAAAAAATACCAAAACTCCATTAATGGCACCTCTCACTATTTCCATTCCCTTTTTTATCATGCTTTTGTCTACATATAATTAATGGGTTTTGACCCAAGAATTAAAGGTTGATGTTGATGGAAATGATGAGACTTCTAAAGTGATAAGATGTTGACCTTGATGATTGTTTAGAGAAAAAAAAATAGTAAGAAAATCATGGAAATCGAAAACCCCGGCTATGAATCGTTTGAAAATTTGATGAAAATAGTAGGTCTAAGATCGTTATCATTAGCGTTTATATTAACATCAGTAACACTTTTCAAATTGTTAATGTATTTTAATCTTCTGTTGACATTTTATGAAAAATATCGATAAAATGTCAATTATATTTAGAGTATGATGTGTATAAAGTACAAGACGGGGAGATTAGACATGTAATTGTACCTTTAATATTCCAATTCCAATCTCTACAGAACTAGAAACCTTGTGGATGATGTTTTTGTTAAGACTTCTTTCTGGTTGGTCTGTTCGAAACTCTTGAGGGATCGGAGCCAGTAGTCCGAGCCTCGAAACAGGATTCGAATACTCAAAGAGCTGGAGACGATGACAAGCATCGCATGCATGCAAAGTCGATAGGAGGAGAATGAAGAGGAGAGAAGGCGTGGCCATGGATATGGAGAGAGAGAGAGGTATTGTTTTGAATGGAGTTGGTATTATAGGGTTATGGAAGTATTTGTAATGGAAGCCAAGGGAAGAAGGGAAAGAGAGCATTAAATGGAGATGGAAAAACATTTGTTAAAGAGAACATGAAGGTGTTTGGGCTATGAACCTTCAACATAAACTCACAAATATATGGTGGGCTCTTTTTGTCTCCTCAATCTCACTTTTTGTTTTTTAATATTATGGGACTCTCAATAAGAGAGAGCGCCGATCTCTATACCATATTTTAGAATAGACCCGTGTTCATGAGTTGGATTAAGTTGGGTTGAAGTACTTTTTAGACCAACTCAATCGTTTGAATTATAAATTTATTAAGTCCAAACAATCTTTATTAAATTATGAATCCAACCCAACCGTGATATATTTTGGTTGGGTTAGTTCGAGTTCTCTGGCCATTCGTTCAAAAAATTGTGTAAAAATAAATAAGTGCTATTATCTTAAACATTTATTTACATATTTACTAATATGGTGAAAATTAAATTACACTTCAAAAACTTGAAAAGTTATTTTTAAAAGTTGTTGGAGAATAAATAATTCATAAAAAAGTATTGAATGAAATAAAATTAAAGTGAAATATATTCATATATATAATTATATGTTAAGTAAAAGAAATAATTTTTAAATTGATAGTAAATTTGTGTCGGTTAAATTCAAATCAAATTTATTTTAGGTGAACTCTTGAACTAATCCAAGAGTTTATTTTCAAAAAAACAAAAAGACTTATAACTGTAAGTTGCTGCTAAATTCTGGACGAGTCGAGATTCACGGCGGGCTCCTCTTGAACGAGCTATTTGAAATGAGGTATATGCAAAAAGACCTATACACAATGAACAAACACTTCAATGTTCAAGTTAGTCTAAAACCCAAGCTAATAGTTCGGTTTTACACATAATTACATACTCGTGTGCGAGAGTGAGAGACTATTCTATTATAGTCGTTATAGAATTTGTTACATGACTATCACTTGTTTTACTTTGTAGCTCGATCTTCATGCTTGAGAAACAATACGAGGTAGCACGAGCTTTATAGATCCATGTACTTCGTAAAAGTAGATCATCTGTCATAGGTCAAAAAGATAAGTCATGGTGCGAATGGGCGAGGTGTTATCGTCCCTTCTCATTGGTCCATGTAGCAAGCTATATTTTATCCTTCAACGCCGTACACTTGTTGTAGCATTTATTTTTTACAAAGGATAAATGTCATACACTTGTCGTCAGTTTTTATCCTTTTGAAAAAATAAATGTTGATGACAAGTGTGAAAAGCCTAAAGGGGGAAGTGGAATTTTCAGGTTCGAAGATTTGGCATCACACAATACAATACAATACATGCATATAATTGATACCAAAATTAAATGGAACATAGACAAAATATGTCAACTACAATTTTAATTAAAAAAAAATTAATAATCTAATCTTGAGAGAGAGTGAAGGAGAGCCCATTTTAAATTTATAATCTCAATAGCTAATTTATTATTTTCAGATAAATCTAATGATATGGTCATTTAAAGATAATATGACAATTATTAATAATATTAATAGGGTTGAGAATAACAAAAAATATATATATATATATAAATCAACAACTCACTCATCCTCAATAGTCTTTTATTTTCTAGCTTAGACGTTTAAACGAACATCTGCAAGGACAAATATGCAAACGTCTTTTAAGTCTAGATTTCTTTAAGATCAGCAATTTCTGAATGGAGGATTGAACCATCGACCTTTCAAATAGTATTACATGTATTATCTATTGAACTATACTTGAATTGATGTGTCTTAATCAGTTGAACTACTCGGCCATTATTTATTAATAATTGATTAAACAAATTTGCATTATATCTCAAGACCGCCCAACATTTAATGATTTTTTTGGAAGATAGTTTGAGAGGAAAATAATGGGAGTGAACAGAGAAGCATGGCCAAATAGTAACAACTTTGTACCCTCCAGCTCCTTCCAGCCCCCTATTGACCCTGTTTGCCACGTGGCAATTCATCCATGTGCTTCCAGCCTATGATGCCTTGCCACGTCGGATTTAGTGCTGGTTTTTGGGGGTTCTAAGGTTTTTCCTTGTCTATGTTTGTCGTGTGGTTTGTTTGGAGTGTCAATTCGATTTAAAACATAATAGTCCCCACCACAAGATGGATGCACCAAATTCAATGAGATGATTTACTTTTGGTCACTATAATGAAAATTACACTACTCGAAACTTCAAACAAACTTGTTACAATCGTATTCGTAAACTTTTAATTTGAGGGATGGTATTTTTTTTGAGTTGACGATAATTCTGATAATAGAAATTAGGGAAGAATGAGTATTATTTATAGGATTAACGTCAACTACTCGAAGATGGGCAATAAGAAAAAGGGGGGTAAATTTAGTTAGTTGTTCTCCAATTGAGAAGATTGCTTAAGATATAAGACAAGACAATGGTAATTCGAGCTAAACAAATGGAAATATAAGGGTGCGTTGTTATGACATATTTGCGTTAATGTGACACTAACTAAACATGACATTATCGAATAGAAATATATCTTCAAGAGGTAAATATCTATTTTTATACCTAACTAATATAAAATTGCAAAAGTTACTCTTTGTGTCGTTAGGGTTTTTACCTTGTACCCAAAGTTTAAAATTTTTGTTGATTTGTTGATATATCTATGAGTCAGGATTTATTTTCGATATTTTATATAAATAAATATATAGATTAATGAGGGAAGGGTAGTTAATCAACTAAAATGATTTTAAAAAAGTAATCTAGAAAAAAGTCACCCGGCCCAATGGGCCTTTTATTTTGGGTATGTTCAATTTTGCTTGCTTGGGCCTTACCAAACGAGCACAGAGATCTTCGGCCCACAAGAAATAAACCTTCTTAATTAACATATGAGCTCACAAGAGTCCACTTGAATGAACTTTTGCATTTGGATACAAAGTTTCAAAGATGCGCATATAAGTTATCATGCTTGCATATTCACCATTTGAGTCTCGATGTTCACGAGCGATGATGACATTTTTTTTAATACAATAAGGAGTGGGAGATTCGAACTAATAACCTCTTAGTCAAAAACAGATGTCAATTACCGTTGAGCTAAGCTCATTTTGACGGTGACGATACCTTTTTGGTTTTGAAGTATGCACCATTTTTTGTGGAAGTTTCAATTTTATTTTAATATATCAATTTTTAATCAAGTCAATGATGACCCTAATACCCTTCATTAGTGAGATTCCATATTTTTAAAGATTTGTAACTAGCTATGAGTGTGAATGTGTGGAAAAGATAATTCAGGTGTCGAGTACTAGTTCTTCTAGTCGTGTTGGTCTTTAGTGAGGTTTGGGTATTTGAGATGGGGTTTACGAGTTTTTTCAATTGCTTGATTTGTAGCGATGCTTACTTTGAAGTTGGTTTTAATTATTTCTTAATTTTGTGTGACTAATCCATGATCATTTTTCTAATTTGATTTTATTTATACACAAACTCACTAGGTATAAAAGTTTAAGCTTAAATTTGAGAATTGAAAGTTTAAGATAAAAATTGACCCAATAAATTAAATACGAGAGGGTAAAAAATGATTTTTTCCTAATCAGTGAAACAACAAAATCCAAAGAATTTATAATTTTGTATGTGTTTGTAAGGATGAATTGTACAAATTGGATGCTTGCATTTCCCCCTATTCAAAAACAAAGCCACAAATGTTCATTTTCTATGCATATAGATAGAACTATTACTAATTTTGTACACACATGAAGGAACATGTAAAGAATTTTGCTCAAACAATCATGTTTTAATGTCCTTTCCCATTTGGAAAATGAAATTTTTATGATCATATCATATGTTATATTTTATAAATATAGATCCATGGATGAAAAAAAAAACCTTAATTAGACAGACCAACATCGTCTTTTAAAGCACAATAGCCTCCAAATTTGATGTCTTGTCTCAACCCATTGACGACAAACCCTTAAAAAATATAAAAATAAATAAAAAAAACCCAGGCGTAATTTAACTCATATCTTAATAATCTCGATTTAATTTAAATCATGCCTCTAATGGTATCAATTTTTCTTTTCTTTTCTTATATTATTTTATTTATTTAAACTATTTTTGAAAACCACACCTGCTGTGACAGGAGAAAAATATAATCAAAAGTATGTAGCATACAACTAGAACAGGAGAATTAATTATTCC